TCTTTCATATATAGCCTTTACTATGTCAAGATATGATCCCTCTATTCCCAGATTGCTGAGCATTTTTATCAGAAATGGGTGCTGGATTTTGTCGAATGCTTTTTTAGCATCTATTGATATCATCATATGATTTTTATCTTTCATTTTGTTTATGTGGTGTATCACATTTATTGATTTGCGAATATTGTACCAGCCTTGCATCCCTGGGATGAATCCCACTTGGTCATGGTGAATAATTTTTTTGATGTATTGCTGGATTTGATTTGCTAGTATTTTATTCAGGATTTTGGCATCTATGTTCATCAGGGATATTGCCTTGTGGTTTTCTTTCTTTGTAGTTTCTTTTTCTGGTTCTGGAATTAGAATTATGCTGGCTTCATAAAATGAGTTTGGAAGTCTTCCTTCTTCTTGAATTTCTTGAAATAATTTGAGGAGAATGGGTGTTAGTTCTTTTTGAATGTTTGGTAAAACTCCCCCGTGAAGCCATCTAGGATTTTGTTTGCTGGGTGAGTCTTGATTATATCTTCAATTTCCTTAGTTGTTATTGGTCTGTTCAAGTTTTCTATCTCTTCCTGGTCCAGTTTTGGGAGACTATGTGTTTCTAGAAATTTGTCCATTTCGCTTAGATTGTCAAATTTGTTGCCATATAATTGTTCATAGTAGTTGTTAATGGTCTTTTGTATTCCTGTGGTGTCAGTTGTTACTTCTCCTCTTTCATTTCTGATTTTGTATATATGGGTTCTCTCTCTCTTTGTTTCTTAGTGAGTCTAGCTGAGGGTCTATCAATCTTGTTTATCTTTTCAAAGAACCAGCTCTTTGTTTCATTGATCCTTTGAATTGTTTTTTTGGAATCTATGTCATTTATTTCTGCTCTGATCTTTACTATTTCCTTCCTTCTACTTGCTCTGGGGTTTTCTTTTTGTTTGCTCTCTAGTTCTTTAAGTTGTGAGGTTAGATAGTCTATTAGAGATTTTTCTTGTTTCTTGAGGTAGGCCTGTAGTGCTACGAACTTCCCTCTCAGAATTGCTTTTTCTGCATTCCATAGATTTTGTGTTGTTGTGTATTCATTTTCATTGGTTTCCAGGAAATTTTTAATTTCTTCCTTTTTGATCTCCTCAGTAAACCATTTGATGTTTAATAACATGCTATTTAGCTTCCGTGTGTTCAAATGTCTTTGTATGTTCTTGTTGCAATTGATTTCTAGTTTCATGCCATTGTGATCTGAGAAGATGCTTGATATGATTTCAATCTTCTTGAACTTGTAGAGACTTACTTTGTGTCCTAATATGTGGTCTGTCTTTGAGAATGTCCCATGTGCACTCGAGAAGAATGTGACTTCTGCAGTTTTGGAGTGTAATTCTCTGTAGATATCTATTAAATCTATTTGGTCTAGTGCTCCATTTAAAGTCTCTGGTTCCTTGCTTATTTTTTGTCTAGAGGATCTATCCAGTGTTGTCGGCAGGATGTTGAAGTCCCCTGCTATGATTGTATTGCTATTGATTTCTCCTTTGAACTCTTCCAGAAGATTTTTAATATATTTTGGTGCTTCTATATTGGGTGCATATATGTTTATCAAGGTTATATCTTCCTGTTAGATAGATCCTTTCAATATTATGTAGTGGCCTTCTTTGTCCCTAGTTATGGCCTCCATTTTGAAATCTATTTTATCAGATATGAGAATTGCTACCCCAGCTTTTGTTTCTTTTCTGTTTACTTGGAAGATTTTTTTTCATCCCTTTACTTTCAACCTATGTGAGTCTTTTGTTGTGAGGTAGGTCTGTTGTAAACAACATATAGATGAGTCATACTTTCTTATCCAATCAGCCACTCTGTCTTTTTATTGGCGCATTTAATCCATTGACATTTAAGGTGATTATTGATATGTACTTATTTATTTTTGTTTAGTGTGATTCTATTTTTCTTCCTATTTCTCCTGCTACTTACAGCAGTCCTTTTAACATTTCTTGCAGTGCTGGTTTGGTGCTAATGTATTTCCTTAGCCTTTTTTTTTTTTTTTTTGGTCTGGGAAGCTCCTTATTTGACCTTCTATTTTGAATGATAGCCTTGCTGGGTAGAGTATTCTTGAATTCAGATCCTTGTTTTTCATCACCTTGATTACCTCATGCCATTCCCTTCTGGCCTGTAGTGTTTCTGTTGAGAAGTCAGCTGAGAGAGAGCCTTATGGGGTTTCCTTTGTAGGTAACCTGTTGCTTATCTCTTGCTGCTTTTCGAATTCTCTCTTTGTCTTTAATTTTTGGCATTTTGATTACTATGTGTCTTGGTGGGGCCTGTTTTGCTTCTTCTTACTTGGGGTTCTCTATGCTTCTTGAACTTGAATGCCTTCTTCCTTCACCACATTAGGAAAGTTTTCTGTCACTATTTCTTCAAATATATTCTCTAACCCTTGCTCATTTTCTTCTTCTTTGGGGACTCCTATGATGTGAATGTTATTACATTTCCAATTGTCCCACAGTTCTCTTAAGCTGTCTTCCTGTTTTTTAATTGTTTTTTTCCTTTTGGTTTTTTGATTGGTTGATTTTTTTCTACCCTGTCTTCTAATTCACTGATCTGGTCCTCAGCTTCCTCTACTCTTCTATTTAGACCTTCCAATGTGTTCTTTATTTCTGCTATGTCATTCTTCATTTCTTCTTGGTGGTTTTTAATTTCCAACTGTTTGATTTTCAACATTTCTATGTCTTTAGTCATGGTGCTTATGTCCTTACACATGCTCTTGAGCTTCCTCAAGATCATGGCTCTTAATTCTAGTTCTGTTAACTTGCTTAACTGCACCTCCTTTATCTCCTCTTCGGTAGAGGTCTCTTGTTCTTTCATTTGGCCTTTGTTTCTGTGTTTCACCATTTTGGCTATCACAGTGCACTTTGGAGCCTGCCAAATTTTCCCTGTGAGTGTTGGTGTTCTGCTGTTTGTGGCTCCCTCTTCTGGGTTTGGATGAGCCAGGAAGGACCCACAGAAAACATCACTGTCAGGTCTTACTTTCCTGGTTAGAGTTATATCCCAGGAATGGTACAGTTATTCTCTAGCTTTTTGCCTGGAGGCTATCAGTAGCAGTTACTTGAAGAGCCTTGGTTTCTCAGTTGAATGAAAAACTCCCTCAGGTGCTCAGCATAGGATGATTTCCCGAGGGTGGGTCAGATGCTGGTTGTTAATGGGCCCCAATTTGCATTTCAATGTCCACCGGGTGGGGTTGAATCTCTGAGGGAGGGGCCGCTGCTTCTCCCCAGAGCCCTGGGAAAGAGTAAGATGACCACTGTCCTGCGTGGCTGCAACTCAGCAAAAACTCTGAGCGCCCTCCAATCCCCGAGTGTCCCCACACCGTTGCAGTCCAGTCTGTCCTCCCTCTGCTGGAGCCCACAGTAAGTGGCTGTGGCTATTTTAGCATCTGTCCTGGCTCTGTGAGGTGGAGCTGCTTGGGAGTGTACCCCTGAGGGCGCTGCTCACAGCTAAGCCCACTGCTCAAAGCTAAGGCCGCTGAGGACTGTGGGCTCCCAGCCCCCCTCTCATGCCTCCGCAATTCTACCAGGATTGAGTCAGTGTCCCTGGTTATGTGGTCCTCCAAGGTGCTTTTCTGTTGCTTTTTCCTGACGATTTGTCTTTATTTTCGTTGTAATTTCAGTTTGGTCCTGGGAGATGGTCTGTGTAGCTTCCATTCACTCTGCCGCCATTTTGGAATTTTCCACTCTGATCTTTATTATTTTATTTCTCCTACTCTTTCTGGGCTTTTATCCCCCTAATCCTTTTAGGTGTAAGATTTGGTTGCTTATTTTAGGTTTTCCTTATTATTTCGAGATAGGCCTGTAATGCTATGATTTTCCCTCTTAGGACTGCTTTGAGTTGTTGTGTTCTCATTTTTATTTGTCTTAAGGGATCTTTTGATTTCTTCCTTGATCTCATTGTTAACCAATTCATTGTTTAGTAAGAATACCTCCATGTGTTTTGTATTTTTTGGTTTTTGCATAATTGATTTGTAGTTTCAAAACATTGTGTTCAGAGAAGATGCCTGACATGATCAATCTTCTTAAATTTATTAAGACTTCTTTTGTGTTCTAACATGTGATGAGACCACTTTTATTATTAAAACAAAAGACATTAAATTCCTTTGTTTGACTGCTACAAATGTTTCTGAAAGCTCTCTCTGGATTGCCATGCTCACCCTGTGTGGGTTGGTCTTTACAGTTCAGTTTAATACCTGGACTTGGAGCAGCGGGGTGGCCCACCACCTTGATTGGCTCCAGCTATTCTCATGGCTGCCTCTTACCCTCAGGGCTCAGCTGAAACATCTGGTCACCAGTGAGAATGTCATCCTGGCTCACGACCTGAAACCCTCCCATTTACCAGTTTGTTGCTTGTTATCTATGCCCAATCCACATATTCCAGGACCTACACCTCATTAGAGCAGAAAACTCATGTTTTGTTTGCTGTTTTATCTGTCCAAATCCCAGAATGATGCCTGGGACACAGGAGTGCTCAGTAACATTTGTTGTCTGAAAGACTGAGGGACAGAAGGGAGAGAGACAGTGAGGGAAGAAAGAGGAGGAGGAGGAAGAGGGAGAGGAGGGGAGGAAGGACACAAGACATGCTGCGACCACAGGAAAAGAACATTTTCTGCCTTGAACTCAGAGGAGGCTTCTAGAAGAGGTGATGAAGGAGTAGAAGGGGTTTTCTAATCAAATGAGTTGAGTGCAAGGTGGGGTGAAGGCAAGCTAAGCAAAGACTAGCATAAGCAAAGGCACAGGGGGCTAAAATGGTAAGATCTGCACTGTAGTGCGTGAGTCAGGGGTGAGGAAGACTCATGAAGGTGTGAATAAACCCCGAGGATCTTCCAGGCCACGGAAATGGGGCATTCCGCTACTTTAGAAGTGGAGAGTCAAGCTCTTTGACTACCATCATAATGCCGCTCTGGACTTTGTGCCCTGCTTTGCCTAGTAAGTTACAGTAGAACCAAGTCTGACTTCCTGCCTCCTTCCTGTGTCTCCCTCCAGTCACTCCATCCCCACTGACTATGGCAAGGGCCAGCTGTCAGGGCAGCCGCTCTGTATGAAGCAGTACTATGGCCTCTTCTCCTCCTACCGCCTCCCCGGCCACACCCAGGACACGCTGGTGGCCCAGAGGAGCAGTGTCATGCCTGAACCGGAGCACATCATTGTGGCCTGCTACAACCAGGTAAGCGGCCCCTTGGGCTTGGGAAAGACACATGTGTGCTCACCCATTCCTGCTTTTCCAAGGGTGCTCAGCCCCCTCCCAGAGTCACACAGTGAGCTGGAGCAGAGTGGCCACAAAATGGGACCTCCTGACTCCCTCTCAGTTCCCTTTCTCTCCACTGTTGGATTTTCAGAACTACCGGAGTCATCAGTTGAGAGCAGCTCCAGTGGGCTCCTGGTACAACCCTGACCAGCCGGGTCAGGTTAAAAGAGCTGCCTGGATAGACGGAGTCTGGGCCATTGATGACCCAGCATAGCCTCAGACCCTCCACATGCAATCACCCAGGCCGTGGCCTTCCCAGAAACCATGTCCAGATGGACAGCTTCGCAGATGTTGGGACCACCTTGCCTTTTTTCTCCACTCCCTAGTGTGTTTGAGACCTATCCCTATAGCTGTATGTAGAGCTAGTTCATTCCTTTTTTTTTGGTACGTGCCCCGAGTGGGAACTGAACCCGGGACTCTCTGGTCCACAGGCCAATGCTCCAACCGCTGAGCCAAACCGGCCAGGGCAGTTCATTCCTTTGAACTGCTGGGTAGACATGCGCTGGATGAGCACACCGTATTTTATTTAGCCATTCTCGACTGGAGACGTTTCGGCTCTCGCTACCATTTGCTACCGCACACTGCTGGTATGCACGTTCCTGTTTACGTCTCTCGGGTTACAAGGGCATATGTTTCTCTAAGCCTTAGGCTAAACTATGCATTTATAAGAGCAATTGCTGAATCACAGGGTATGCACATTTTTAGTTTTAATAGACACTGTCTCGCAACAGTAGTTGTCCTAATTTATGTTCAACTACCCATAAAAGTAATGGCTTTATATGAACTAAGAATCACAAAAGCAAGTGTTCTTTTCGCTAAGTTTAATCGGGACTTCTTTGAATCGGAGTGCTTGGAGGCCAGCACAGTTGGCAGAGTTGAGTTGGTCCCCAAACTGTGACTATTCAGAGCCACCACGTACCTTGGGGCCTGGGCCTGCGCACCTCCACCGTCTCCCAGGTGTGAGGGTTCAGTGGGGGCTGGCACCCTGGACCGGCTGCCATGAGTGACGTGTTTGACCTGTTTCCCCCACAGTTCTTCGTCTTGGATGTTGTGACTAATTTCCGGCGTCTCAGTGAGGGGGATCTGTTCACACAGTTGAGAAAGATAGTCAAAATGGCTTCCAACGAGGACGAACGCTTGCCTCCCATCGGCCTGCTGACATCGGACGCGAGGAGCCAGTGGGCTGAGGCCAGGACAGTCCTCGTGAAAGGTCAGCGTCAGTGCCCAGCATCTCCACGCTCATCTCATCCGCACGCCCATTGGCTTCCCTGCGCGGGGTCGGCACCATGCCATCCGCACCTGGCACTGCACGGGCGCTGAGGCCTCCCTCCAACTCAGGACCCGGCGCAGGTCGCGCTGCGGCCAGGGTCCGTGACGTGCGGCGCCTTGGCACCCTCTCATTCCGGTTGACAAAGCTCCAGCTTTCCGGGTGAAGCTGACTAGCCCTGGACCCCTGGGACGCCCAGAAACTCCGAGGGTGGGGAGATCAAGCTGGAGGAAGGCTGGCACAATTAAACAGCTTTGTTTTATTTGTTGGCAAGGATGGTTCTCGTTGGAGGGGTCTGATCTCTGGGAAAACTGTCAGATGAGGATTTGGGATGGAGCCCACCTCTGGGAGGGTGGATGGCTGCCTTCTTTATATGAATTTTCAGTCCTAAAATTTTTCATCTTTAAGCTGAAAGTTTCCAAGCAGCCCTATAAGAAATCCAGTTATAGTCTTCACATTTAAAAACCACCCTCTGGAAGTTACTTTTCAAACCAAAGCCAGCTGTATTCTCAGGAACTGGGCGGACAGCCTTCCTTTCTTGCCTGTACTAGAGAATCCTCGATGACCGGTGAGATTCCATGACCCTCCCTCTGCCCCTCAGGCGCTCATTTGGCCAGGTGTCCACCTAGACTCCCCAAGTGTCTGTAAGCTGAGGACTTGAGCTAGGCCTGGGGAGGGTAAGACAGAGAAAACGAAGCACCCTCGAGTTCACTGGATAGGAAGAGGGGAAGAGGGCGTGGGGGAGCAGGTTCGAATACGTGGTAATGCGACATCTACTCGTGTAAGGTAATGTAGGCAGCAGGTGCCAAATAAGTGCTTCAGGGCTTCGGAGCAGGAGGCGAGCCCTGCTAGCTGGGAAGACTTCCGAAGGCTTTGCTGGAAGAGGTGGAAACTGTGCAAAACCCTGTGACACGAGTGGGAGCGGCTGGGGGTGGCTAGCTTACAGACCCCGACTGTGGGCCATCTGCCCTGCCCAGGACCACGAGGAGAGCGGCCCGGCGGGCAAAGTGGCCATGCTGACCGTCCCGGGAGAGGGAGGAGGTAGTGGGACCTGGCTCTCGGGCAACAGGCATTTGCATTTTCTGGTCTCTTCCTAGAATGTGTTCCCACAGGGCTGGCTGGCTCTCGGTGCTGTCCAGAGTTCAGGCCAGCTGTCACCGCCTCAGGACCTCCTTGAGCATTTCTCCCTAGTCGTACTGTCACTCCATCCTGTTTTCTTACCTCGACTGCATTTCTCACTCTCCGAAGTCAGCTTTTCATTTGTTTGATTCATGCTGATTATCTGTCTCCCTCCCTCCCCAGCCACCAAGGTCCAAGAGAACAGGGCCGGTCTGTTTGGTTTAACTTTGAACCTGCTGTGCTGAATGCAATAAGGGCCAATTATATTCGTTAAATAAAAGAATGAAGGGTTATTGAGGATACTGGGCCCCAGACGTATTTCCCACTTACCAATGAACTATGCTTTCATTCAATCATTGGGCACCTGTGAATTCTTGGCTGTAAATCAGGGGTTGCACAGGCCTAGGCCTTGGGGAAGTTTGAGAGCCGAGGCTGTTCTCACAGACCTAGCCACCACGTTGGGGAATTAATAACATCAGTTGAAAGTGAATTAATTCCCTCAGGGGACCATGGTGTAATCAAATCCCACTCTTCCCCCCTCCAGGGACAGTGACAGGCATCCAAATAATTGCTTTTGCTTCCAGTATGGTTTCCACTTTATTAGCAGACTGGGCCGAGCAGCGTCCCGCAGGACAGCCGGGGATCGCCTTGGGCCGCAGTGCTCGGCTGCACGGATAGAATTAGTTTGTTAATGGCACTCAGTCTGGCTTTCTGAATGGAAGCGCGGTTTCTGTGGGAGTCGTGCAGAGGAGGGGAACGCTCGTGCCCGCCCTTCGGTAATCTGGTTAATCCAGTTACTCCGGCAGGAAACCAGTTCTTCCCAGAGCCTCCTCTGTGGAGCAGCCTTTCCCACAGGGGGCAAAGGGGAAAACATTCAGAAAACAATTTCAATATAAAAGTAAAAGATACGGCAGCTGGGCTAGGGTTAAACGGGAAGATGGGGAGACATGGATGGGGTCTAGGAATATTTCAAAGTGGAAGAGGAAGGATAAAAGAATTGAGAAATGTTGCTGGATCTTTGGTTTGAGCATCTGAATAGATCGTGGGGAGCCAGGCTGGGACAGTGGCGACGAAACGGAGAAGCCCTTTCCAAGTATTGTCAGGTCCGAGATGCCTTGAGTCATCTAAGTGGAGACGTCCAATTAGATCTATGTGTCTGGAGCTCAAGAGAGAGGTCAGTCCAGTTATAAATCTGAGCGTCATCAGCACATAAGTGATATTTGAAGTCATGGCCCGGGTGAGATCACCTAGAAGTGGAAGAACAGGGCCGCGGAGGTCAGGAGAGGAAGATGCCGAGGGGATTGAGAAAGAGCAGCCCGGAGTCAGGAGGAAATCAGATGAGTCACAAAGATCCGAGACGGAAGGAAGAAGCGGCCAGCCACACCAGATAGTGCTGAGAGCTCAAGGAAGGGTCACTGTGACCGTCCCCAGGCCAGACTGGAGCGGCGGGAAGAAGGAATGGTTGTATGCTGATGGGAGTGGTCCGATGCAGGAGGAACTTGCTGGTGAGGTCAGTCAGTGGAATCAGTGACTGTGATGACTCTTCTCAGACATTTTGATGTGTTTTTTTTAATCCTCACTCAAGGACATTTTTACTTTTATCTTCAGATAGAGTGGGAGGGAGAGAGGGGGGAAGAGACAGAGAGAGAAACATTAATGTGAGAGAGACACATTGACTGGTTGCCACCCACGTGACCCCAACCAGGGCCAAGGGCAAACTGCAACCAAGGTACGTGTCCTTAGTGGGAACCAAACTCGGGACTCTCTGGTCCGCAGGCCAACACTCTAACCACTGAGCCAAATAGGCCAGGGCCAGACATTTTGGTATTAAAAGGAGCCAAAAAATGGGGGAGTTGCTGGAAGAGATGGCAGTCAAGAGAGGGTTCAGTAGGAAACACAAGGGCGTGGTTGTATGTAGACAAATACATGGACATAACCCCGTAAGAGAGTGGTTGATAAGGGAAGAGCAAAGATCAGTGGAGGGTACAATTCCTACGAAGACAGAAGGAGGTGGAACCGAGAGCGTACAAGGCCTCCGGTTGGTGCTAGGAATGTGGACCTAGACGGGAGGCCCACAGACGGCCGTGTGGGGGAAGTACAAGCAGTTCCTCGCTGCTGGCTTCTGCTCAGATCAGCGCAGCCTCGGCCAACAGCTGGAGCAGAGGCTGGGATTCTGAAGACAAAAGAGAACACATTGAAATAGCCTCTCGGAAAGTGGAAGGAGAAGTTACTCGTGAAACTCGATAAGATTTATGAACTGTGGCCCTGGCCAGTGTGGCTCAGTGGTCAGAGTGTCAGCCTGTGCAACAGAGGGTTGCTGGTTCAATTCCTGGTCAACGGCACACACTTGGGCTTTAGATTTGATTCCTAGCCGGGGCTGAGGTGCGTGCAGGAGGCAACCAATCAATGTGTCTCTCTCATATCGATGTTTCTCTCTCTCTCTCTCTTTCTCTCTCTCTCTCTCCTCCCCTCCTTCCCTCCCTTTCACTTTTTCTAAAAATCAATGGAAAAAATATACTCAGGTGAGGATTAACCAAAAAAAAAAAAAAAGATTTCTGGACTATGTTGAGGTCTATTTGAAGACTTAGGGTCATACATTTAGGAAAAGCTCATTAGCATTGTTGTGCAATTTTCCCCTACAATGTTCAGCTCCTTGGGCTCAGGCAAGGAGAAGGTAAATTACCAGGCTCAGCCAGGTTGGTGACTATGACCGAGGGAAAGGGGGAAGGTGTGGCAAGGGAGTGGATCTAATGTTGGAATCTACACTAAGTTGCCAGGGCTGCCATAACGCAGTACCACATACTGAGTGGCTTAACAACAGGAAACTATTTTCTCACAGATCTGGAAGCTAAAGTCTGAGATCACGGTACCAATGGGGTTAGTTTCTTCTGAGGTCCCTCCCCTTGGCTTGCGGATGGCTGTCTTCTCCCTGTGTCTCCCACGGTCTCTCCACTGTGTCCCAATCTCCTCTTCTTGTAAGGACACCAGTCAAGTTGGAAGAGGTCCTACCCAAATGACTTTATTTTACCTTAATTACCTAAATAAAGACTCCATCTGCAAATCCAGTCCCATTCTGAGATACTGGGGGTTAGGACTTCAACTTGGGAATTTTGGGAGAACACAGTTCAGCCCATTGCAGGAGGGAAGTGAGAGACAGAGATGGATAATGGATGGTAGGGATGCGTAGTGGGGCTCATAGTTTTGGGGATGTCAGTGACATGAGCCTTGTTGCTGTGGGGGTAACAGAGAGGGTGACCCAAAAGGTCCTAAGTGTGGTCAGAGGGCCGGATGCTCGAAACTGAGACTTCAGGGGTGTCGTCGCTGGCAGTGATGAGTTCCCCGGTGTGATGGGGGAAGGAGGGCGAGGGTGGGCTGCCGAGCTGGGAGGCCGAGGGCCTGGGGGACAGGATGTGGGCGGGGTCATCCACAGGGACAGAGAAGCCCTCGGGACAGTGAGAGGAGGAGTGATGGGAGGAGGAAGGAGAGCCAGGCGTGCGTGCGTGAGGGTGAACTGTGAGGAGGCTGGCAGAACACAGCACGGAGGAGGTGGTGGTGATGGAAGGCAGAAGCCCAGCCGCTGCCGCTCCAAAGGGGAGGGGAGGCGGAGTCATTTAGAAGTGAGAACGGAGAGAAGAAAGTCCTACCTGACCTGGCCCTCGGGTACGTGAGCATCAAGGAAAATAGTCTGTGGAAGGGCACAGGGATGTGTCACCCCCAGAGGATGCCACCCTTCACCCGAGGCAGAAGGTAAACAGAATACTTTCAGAAGAGGTTAACGACGCAGGGGGACCAGCCGTCACTAGTCAGGCCTCAGGAAGGGTTCA